TTTGAACTTTAACAAATGGAATCAGTGTTTTCTTCCATGACTTTGCTTTCTTTTGATCAGCCACTTTTGTGTGGCTGTGGCTAATTTTTTGTCATTGCTAGATAGCATTCCTGTAAGAATGTAACACTAGTTTTTATGGACTTTGGGGTTGTCTCCAGTTTGGCGCTATTCTGTTCCTAAGTTCTTGTACATCTCCTTGCTTAAGGTAACACTTCCAAAAGTGTAGTCCACCAACCCCTAGGGCTCTCTGGGACCTTATCAGGGAGTCACTGAGGTTAAAACTATTTTCTTTCATGCTAATACTAAGATGTAATTTGCCCTTTTCACTCTGTGAACATTTGCACTAATTGCAGTCACCTTGGCACAAATCAAGTTGATTTGGAGTCATTTTTTGCCAGTTTGGTTAAGTATGTAATTGCATGTTATTTTGGTTTTAATCGTCATATCCCTGGTTACTAATAAGACTGAATTCTTTTTGTCATATTTATAGATCATTTGGATTTCCTCATTTGTAAAATGTCAATTCAAATATTTCCCCCATTTTTGAGATGTCTTTTTTATGTTCTTAGTTCTTTATGGTCATTTTTAAAAAAGATTTATTTATTTGACAGAGAGAGACACAGCGAGAGAGGGAACACAAGCAGGGGGAGGCTGGATCATGACCTGAGCCAAAGGCAGACACTTAACTGAGCCACCCAGGGGCCTGTCATATGTTCTTTAAGTCAGATATATGTGTTGCAACTTTATTTTCCCTTTTTCTATGTTGTCTTTTTCACTTTTAATGATGTCTTTCACTGAAAAGTTTTTATTTTTTTTATTTTTTATTTTTAAAGATTTTATTCATTCATCTGAGATGCAGAGATACAGAGAGAGAGAGAGAGCATGAGCTGGGAGAGAGGCAGAGGGAGAGGGAGAAACAGGTTCCTTGCTGAGCCAGAAGCCCGATGCGGGGCTCGATCCCAGGACCCCGGGATCATGACCTGAGCCGAAGGCAGACACTTAACCATCTGAGCCACCCAGGCGCCCCTCACTGAAAAGTTTTTAACATGTCAAATTCATCACTTTTCCTTTGTTTTGAGCTTTTGTGTGCTCACTAGAATATCAAGTACAAAGGTGAAATGAAATTATAATAGCAAGCATCTTTATCTTGTTCCTGATGTCTAAGAGATAACTTTCAAACCTCATCATCAATTTTTCCCCCACTGTTTCCCTTTTTAAAAAAACAACTTTGAGGGCACCTGGGTGGCTCAGTTGGTTAAGAGACTGCCTTCGGCTTAGGTCATGATCCTGGAGTCCCGGGATCGAGTCCTGCATGCGGGCTCCCTTCTCAGCAGGGAGTCTGCTTCTCCCTCTCCTGCTCCCCCCTCTTGTGCTCTCCCTCTCTCTCAAATAAATAAAATCTTTAAAAAAAAGTTTTGATTAGAGTTAAAAGAATTGAATTATTTTACCTTTAATTTTGGTTATAGTTTTAAAAGTTTTGTTGTAGATTCTTTTCACAGATACCCTTAATCAGGTTAAGGAAGTCCTTCTAGTGCTAGCTTTTCTCCTAAATGAATGTTGAACTTCATGAAACTCTGTTTCTGCATCTGTTAAGATAGTGAGATTTTTGCTCTGTTAATGTTAAGGATCATATTATTTGAGTTTCTATTGTTTAAACAACCTCTCATTTCTGAGATAAACTCAATGATGATATATTATCTTTTTCATATACATTGCTGAATTCAGTTCACTAATATTTTGTGATTTTGCAGCTATGTTTGTAATATTGACCAATAGTTTTCCTTTCTTCTTATGCTGTCTCTGGTTTTGGTATTGGATTGATGCTATGATAAAAGACATTTAAAATTTATGCTTTAAGTGTTGCTGGAAAACGGAAAACACATTCAGGAAGGTTCCCTCTTCATCTATACTCTGAAATCATTTACATAAATTTAGAATTATTTATTCCTTCAAAGATTAGAACTCAATAGTGAAGTCATGTGGGCCTGGGGTTTTCCTCGTGATCTATTTAATATTGTTTCTATTTCTTTAATGGGAATAGGACTATTCAGCTATCCTATTGTTTCTGGAGTCTGTTTTAGTGATATTTTTCTAGTAATTTGTCCAGTTTTATCTAAAATTTCAAATTTGTTGGCCTAAAGTAGTTCATAATCTGATTACCACGTTAATATCTAGATATCTGTAATTACGTACCCTTGTTATTTCTGGAATTATTTATGTCTTCTCTTTTCTCTTATTTTTGCCAGTTGGTTTTATTATTCTTTCAAAGTCCCAAATTTGGACTTGTTGAGCAATGTGAAATTGGGACTGCAAATCCACAGGAGAGCGGATTTGTGATTTTCCAGAGATTTTATTCACCGTTCTGCTTGGCTGTAATCCAACTCTCCTTGCACTGGGCTGGCCCCTGTGCGGGTGTCTATCACCCTGCTTAGGCTGACATCACACCCAGAATGCCTCACCCTACTTGGGCTCCCATCTGACCGCAGGTCTTTCTCCCATACAGATGCCCTCACTCCCAGGTTCTAACAGCCCAGGCTGGGCTGCTTCCATGTGCAAATGCCCTCTTCATTCTGCAAACTTTGATTCTCCAGGTGGGACACATACAGACACATACACACTGGCTCTGGCAACTCCCATCAGGCCACCTTCTATGTGGTTGCCCTCCTCCCCCTGGCTCAGACTCTGACGTGCACACCAGACAGCCTCCAGCACCAATGCTACCTTGCACTGCTCCACCTAATGGCTTTAGGACTGAATTATGCAGGATGAGAAGGGAAGAGCTCAGAAAATATGAACTACACCCAGAGGCATTTTTTCATGAAGTGTTTTAGTAACATAATGCAACGTATGAGTGTATGGGATAACATGAGCATATTCTTAACTGTGGGTCTGTCAAAGGTTTGAAAGCCACTGACCTAGAAAGGTTTTGGAATGATGGTATAGTAGCACCCCATTTAGAGCGTTATAGTTTTCTGGGCTACTGCCTCAAGATTCCCTGCCACCTGTGTGAACACCCCATCCAAACGGACACTTCCCTGGCTGGCAACAGAGCTACAACTTTGGTAGGCTACTGGGAGTCACAGACCTGAGTTCTAGTTCTGCCCCTCAACTTCTCACCAGCCAAGCAATCTGGTTACCTTATACACTAAAAATGCAGATGATATGCACCATACCTCCCTCCCAAGGCATATAATCAGGTAGTACATGAAAAGTGCTTTGAAAACTACAGCAAATATACAATAACTGACATCTAATGAATGTTTAAGTCCTTTACATGCAATGTAACTGAATCTTTAAACAACTCTGAAATTCATATTTAACAGATGAGGAAACTAAAGTTTAAGGAGGTTGAATGGATGAGAGGGTATTTGAATCCAGGTCTGTGCATTCAACTATACCCTCATAATCATTAAGCATTTTTGTTTTTAACAGAGAGCGAGACAGAGAGCACACAAGTCGGGGAGCGGCAGGCAAAGGGAGAAGCAGGATCCCCACTGAGCAGGGAGCCAATGTGGGGCTTGATCCCAGGACCCTGGGATCATGACCTGAGCCAAAGGGATTAAGCGGTACTTTTAAAGATTTTATTTTTGAGTAATCTCTACACCCAACGTAGGGCTCAAACTCACAACCCCAAGATCAAGAGTTGCCTGCTCTTCCGACTGAGCCAGCCAGGCACCCCACAAGTGGTACTTTCATCATGTGAGTAAGTTTACTTTGTTAGAAGCAGAGCATCTTTGTTCTGTTACAGAGTTTTATATGGATATGGAGAACCAAATGTATTTACCATTTCCCCATTAAACATCATTAATTCTTGAAAGCTTTGAATCCTGTGGACTTTCACCTTTTCTATGCAAATATAGCTAACAGGCAAGGATCTGAGACTAAATGAGGTCACTTTGAAATGATGGTGGTACCTGTACAGGGTCCAGGGGTGGCAGTCATTTCCTTAAAATGGTAGCCAAGTTTAAGGCCCTTACATGTAGGCAATGGATAAATATATTGAAGAATGAACAAATGGGAGCCTGGTTAGGTCTAGAACTCTAGCAGCTTGGTGAGGTGGGGTAGTTAGCCAAGAGCAATGGCCCCTCAGCCCCCAGGATGAGGGGCTGTCAAGAGAGCAGACCTCAAGGCAGAGTCCACTTGGCATTTTCTGAAACTGTCCACAGATCTGCCTGGGATCAGTTCTCTGCTGAGGGGCCTGGAGAGTCTGTGTAGAGCTCCTTCTGAGCAGCTGGATGAGTCCAGGGTAGGGTCGGGCGGGTTTGAGCACAGTGTTCTTCACCATAGTCCAGCTCAAATGTTCTATTTTTAAAGCCAAATAACAGCATTCTTCCTCCAGCCCCAAAAGTGAAAATCTGAGCAGCAATAATTTTTCTGGTCAAGGACAAGGTGGAGGTGGGACAGGAGACAGAATGAGCCACAGAGGATGAAAAGCAGCAGAGGGAGAGTGTGCATCTTCCACCCAGATGAGTCCAATGCTGTCCCTGAAGACATGCCAGCCAGTCTCCAAATCTCCACAAGCCAGTACCAGTCCCCTTCCACCTCTCCTCAGCAGAGGAAGACCTGTGCAGGGGAGGAGGGAACACTTTACCCCTGCCATGGATGGGACCGGGAAGTGGGGGCGGGGGGGACGACGACGATGACGAGAACAGCTGTTAACAGTACAGAAGCCCAGATTCTAGGTCCAGTAACAGTTTTTATTCCCTTGGAACAAAGATCTGTGGGAAAGAAACTCCAAAAAGGAAACATGAACAACAAAATGACACTAGAGTGGTGTGCCAGGTGGATGGCATACTCCACAGTGGACCTGGTCATGCCCTGGTTTCTCAGATCAATATTTGCTCCGCCCCCAAGTGCCCATGACATAGGTGGAGGGTGGGGACAGTGAGGTGGAAAGCTTCCCTAGTCGATGCAAGCGAGATGAATGTCACTCTGAGGTCTCTCAGGGACACCAAACCCTCCCCCTCAAGAATGGAGGTAGACAAGAATGAGAGGGGCCTGGGCGTCACAGATAATGAGAAAGTAGTCCTGGACCCTTTGTGGCTGACAGAATCTATCCTTAAAATAGTACCACAAGAGAAGCAACAGCTGACTAAGACAGCTTTGTGTTTCGCGGTGAACATGGCCAACCTTGTGAAACCAGGCCCCAGAGCAGTGGTAACTAGCACTATTTCTATTCACTTCAAAGGAGTCTGGTGATGGTTAATCGGAAGCCATTTCCCGTTTCCCAGAGGATTTGCTTCGATCCCCTTTTCTAGCAAAATCCTATCCCCTGCAAACCTAGTCCTCTATAGAGAATAGGCTGTCAAGGGACAAGTGAAAACCCTTTCCTACCCTCAACACTTCCCATGACATGACAGCTTCTACTGCAGCCCAAACACCTAAAAACAAGGTCCTTTGGTGGGCTAGGTAATCCAGTCCTCGATTGTCTCTACACTGTGTATCACCTAACTCATCACTGTACTACAGGATGGCCTCTGGCCCTGGGACCTAAGCCTAGATCACAGTGAGGTCTCCTGGAGGATGAAGGTGGGGCTGTTCCCTTGGTGGGCTGAGCTTTCCTCAGGCACTGCCATGACCTCCTTGTCTCTGTTCTTCAACATCCCATTACTCATCTTTTCCGGAAATGTAGCAGTGTCCACTGAGAGATCCTGCAGAACACAGAGCAAACGGAGTGGAGGGGGTGGGATGAACATGAGACAAAGGGGTGAAGGAACTCAGGCAGAAAAGGTGGAAGACCCTGCTTTGATCCCCACTGGAAGGGAGATCAGCAAAGGGCAGTGGGGGAGAAAGGGAGGAGCAAAGCATGAGGTGAGTGGTGGTGGTGGTGGTGGGGGCGGTAGTGAGAGGAAAGGCCAGCACACTGGGCACCTCTCTGGGCTGAGACCCTTCTGCCCACCAAGTCAGCACTCCCCTGAGGGTAGAAGCCAGGGCAGTTACTGAGGGATGGTCCAGGTTCAGACAAATAATGAGAGCTGCTGGGGAGGAGAAAGGAAAGGGAGGGAAGAGAAACTGGAAGGTCCGGCAGTAAGAGGGGGAGGGGAGGGTATAATCTGGACAACATAGCTGCTACCTGGCTGTAGCTTATGCAGTGAAATCGCTTCTGACAGGACAGGGGCAGCAGGGCAATGAGCTTTGGTAACACCGGGTAAATGGTCCGAGGATTCAGGGTCCGGCCCCGCATTCCCCCTGAAGGCAAAGGCACTTCTGAGTCTCCTACCGTGTAACCAGTGCACACCCAGCAAGCCATCTGTTCTCAGGGCTCTGAGTTCCCAGCCCCTGCCCACCTCCCAGAGCTCAGCCAAGAAGCCCAAGGAGCTCAGAGGGCAGTGTCAGTCCCCCCACACCAAGTCCAGATTCCCTGAGTGGCCTCCCTCAGTCTCACTTCTCTGGGTCCCCATTCCACACGCCCTCACCAGTGAGCAGACTGACAATCAGGCCCACGACAATAACTGTGGTTGAGTTGTGAGCGCTGTACCATAAATACGACAAGGAGTAGAGACGCTGCAGCCCTGTAGGCCTGGGGAGAACCGGAATAAGGACAGTTAGCAATCACTGACAGGGCATTCCTCAGGGACAGAGTCCCCAGATGTTGGGACCCAACACCTAACATTTCTCTGAGGACTCTGGTGGCCCATCCCTTAGCAAGACCCCTGGGAAACCCCTCAAAAATGAACTATTCTCACCGAGGAGAGAGCAAGCCCCAACTCACTTGGAGAGGGTGGTTGAGGGCATCAGTGTGGTCATGGTGACAGAGGTCAGGTTGCTAGGCAGGGAAAAGCTGGATATATTAGGGGGAGAGGGTGCCATGCCGGAGGCCATGTTGGTCACTATGCTCCCGATGCCGATCCAGAAGGCCATGATGAGTCCAGCCAACAGACCCACAATGGCACCCTGCCCAGAGACATAACACATTCTCCTGTCATGATGCCAGCCCTAATAAATCTTCACGCCAGTTCCCAGAACTCATGGGTAGAGCCCTGCCAAGATAATTCTCAGGTCCACCCCTGTACACGATTGTGGAGCCAGATGGATCACTCACAGAAGGGTTGGCACAAGGAAAGAACATCCCAAGACAGAAGAGTCCGAGCAGCGGCCCCCCAACCATGCCAAAGATGCTGAGTGCTGCCTGTGGAGGACAGGGTTGAGGAAAAAACGAGAGAACATTCAGGGTCAGAGAACCCCAGCCTCACCAATGTAAAGCATGGCCACCTGCCAATGCCTCAGCACCCCACTTGTCAGATCTGTCTGTATCTTCTACCTGGAAACATCAGAATGCAGGATTCCAGAAGGCAAATCCCGGGAATGTGAAGGGAATGTACTTTGGGTTGTCCTCTGTGGCTGATCCCTAGATGTCTCTGAGCTGACAATGTCCTGGGAATAACTCTAGGGAACGCAGCTAACGGTGGTCCATCAAAGGTGAATTTTTGACACCTATCCCTATACCATTCCCTTCACATCAGCTGTCCTCCTCAACTTCCTGTTTCAATCCGCTCCTTTCTCCCTTAAAAATTGCTTTCTTCTCTGATAGTCCTTACCTGTAACACGGGTCCCATCTGGGAAGAAATATACGCCATTCCCAGACAAAGCAGCCCATAGCCAAAGGCTGGGAAAAAGAAGGGAGGAAAGAGGCAGAAATAAGTTAACACACTTAAAAGGAGGAAAAGTAGAGCAAAGCTCCTTCCCCAGCCAAACCATTACCTCTGTGTCCCTGGAAACGGCATATTCCTTCCTGCCCCAGCTCCAGGTCCCTCCCACCTGGTCTTCCCACCTATGTAACTCAGAGACCTTCCCAGGGAATGCCCTGAGATGTCAACAAGGTTGTGTGCTTCGTTTGGCAAGCACTGAACCCAGACTAAAGCTGGTGCTGTGAAGCAGACTGATGACAGTGCTTAGGATGTGTTTTAGAAAGAATACAACTGAAAAAATGAGGAAACATAATCCCACCGAGGATTCTCGAAAGCATGATGGCCTGGACTTCAGAGAATTGAGGGAACCAGGGTCGGATCAGATCTTCCATCGTAACAGTTGCCAATGAGTTAAAAGCAGAAGATATGGTGCTGAAAGGAGGAAGACAAAGACGAGCTGTGCTGAGTCTGGGAGCTGAGAGGCAAAACCAACAGGGGCCCTACTGAGGAAACAGCGCCCTAAAGGCAGGAGAGGACATATGCAGCCAGAAGCTGTCCTCATGGTTGGCAGCTGAGGAAGAGGCCCAGAAGGCAAGGGCACTTGTCCTTTCTGAATGGGATACAGGTTTTGATCAAGTAGAATCAATTCCTAGAAGAATCCTTCACCAGCAAGGGGGATCCCCTGGGAGAGGACATGCTCTATTCTACACAGATGAGCTGTCCCTCATCATCTACAGATGGATGGGCACGTTGAGAAACTCAGAGAGATCCCCTCTTCTACCTGTCACCTTGGGCCAAGTAGGGCTCAGCTGCACCAAGCCTGAGGGAAACGGTCGAAGAGGGTACCTGAGGGAGCCACTGAAGAGGCAGGCAACAAAGAGCCCAGGCAGGCCTGGCAGGTCTTTCAGGAGATCCATCACAAAATACAGGACGAACTGCAGGCAGAGCAGAAGTGCATAGCTCTCTTGAGAGAGGAACCCTTCCCTTCCCCAGAGTGAAGCGTGGGGGAAGCCCCCTGCACGTGCCCCTACCAGTCTATGGAGAGTGGGTGATTAAGAAGGGGGCTAAGCACTGAGGGTGTCCCAGTTAGTGAAGAGAAAATGGACTCTAGGTAGAGAAAGCGCAGTTCAGGCCCCAACCCTGCCCCCGACTAGCAGTGTGATGAGCATTCCAGCCACCTCAATGAGGCTTTTTTTCTTTTCTGTAAAATGAGACTGTTGTTAAGAATTACAGGAGACCAGGTATGTGACAGCTCCCAGCAAAGTGCACGGTGCACAGTGGTGAGCCAGTAATAAAGGCAGGTCCCCACCCCAGCAGGGTGAGCACTATGGTTAGGTGATGCCGGCCAGGGGCTGGGCCCCTCATGTGCTAGACTGTAGAATCCCAAATGGAAAACGACTTATATCCATTTCCTACCCAGGGTGAGAGTCCTTTCTGCAGCCAACCAGACACTCCTTCTGGGGAGCCAGGCTGGCCCTCATGGGCAGAGAAGGGTGCCAGGGAGGACTTCTCACCTGGTCAGGGGCTGCTTGAGCCTGCTGGGTGCTCATGGGATACTCTTGGTAGTAGACAAACATGACCAAGCCAATGAGGCAACTCATGCAAAGGACCAACTGCTGGCAAGGGAAGACTGCATAGCAGGAGCTGCAGAGAGACCAGTGCCAAGGAGACAGAGGCTGTTAACAGACACCCTCAGGCGTGTCTCCGAGCTCCAGAAAGGAGACCCATATCCTGACCCCAACGGGTGTGTGTGTATGCTCTGGCATCCTGCCCCAACCCCACCTGCCCCGTGGAACGGGGCCCCCTCTCCTCTCTTCCTCCCTGGTCTTCCTGTCCCTGTACTCACAGCACAGCAGCCTTCTCCGTGCGGGAACTGAGGTAGCGCTGCACCTGAGCCTGGTTCACCCCATACAAGGAGAGCATCATGAAGACACCCCCAAAAGCCAATGTCCAGAAAGTGTGCCGTACGAAAGGATCTGGATCCAGCCTACAACAGACACCGACTGGTCACTGTGGCATAGCCCCAGACAGACACAGCCTTCCTCACACTCCTACAACGGGGGGCAGAGCAGAGACGCTGCTGCAGGGCAAAGGAGCTACTGAAGGCAAGAAGTGGGTGGACACAAGAAACAGCACAGCAAGATGGAGGAAGGGTTCTAGCCCTCCAACCCACAGCTGCATGCCAGGTACTAAAAACATCTTGACCCTCCTTACCCACCAGCCAGATCCCTGTGATCACCCTCCATCTCTGCAGTGCCAGCTTCCCACCTGTCTCACTGCTGCCCCTAAGGCTTCCACAGCTTGTCCTCTGTTTACTGCAGCCCTGAGTTCAGGCTCTAGGATGGGCCTGGCCCCCAGGCACTACAGACCCCAGCCAGGGGAAGGGGTGTACTTACACGATCCCAGAGATGCGGCCATGCTGGGAAGCCACTTTCCACACATGCCCCAAGCCGCCCACCTTGACTGACCCCACAATGATAACCACCAGCTGCCCTAGGAACATGACCAGCGTCTGGAACACGTCTGTCCAGATGACTGCCTTCAGCCCGCCCTGCAAGGCAAAGAAAGCATGCCTGCCACAGACGTCTTTAAAACCATCCACAAGTGAAGACACCATACCTACCACCAGCAAGGGACTATATACTGCCACCAGGGGGATAACCGCTGAGCCTCTGTTGGCATCAGTCCCAGCCCGTCTCCTACCCCACCAAAGTCCCAGCCCATCTCCTACAACCTGTCTCGTCCCACTCCAGAGCTCCATCCCACCTCACCTACATTTTTACCTCATACCTTCCTTTCTTTTCCCTCCCATCTTCCCTCCCTCTCCTAAGACTTACTACACTTACCAGAGCAGTATAGACAGTACAAACAACGCCTAGGGTCAGCACTGACAACCACAGGTCAAAGCCAGTCACTGTAAACAGATAAAAACCACATTCCTGTCTCTGGAAGAGGGTTTCCCAACAGAGAAACCAGAAAAACCCCAGTAAGACATAAGGCATTTGGTCATTAAGGACGAAATAAATCGTTCCCCACAATGAAAAAAAAAGTTTGAATCCCACCAAAAGGTGTTGATTCACCAGTTCAGATGAGACATAGTAATGTCTGATTAGCTTTCGGGTGAGGTGAGCCAAGGCACTTCCACCTCCAGTGGAGACCAGTCAAGAGCCCATGCAGGGAAGTAACTCCCTGGCCAAGGTCAGATTCTTTTCTGCACACTCTCCTCTACCTGCCCCTCCCAAAGGTGTTTTCCCAGTCAGCTGTGGCTGAGAGCCAAGGGCTGTGACTCCTCACCTGCATTGAGGGCCAATGATGGTGCATAGAGCACGACTCCCATGTAGATCACCTGTTGCGTATGGAAAAGAGAACATGAGGGGGAGGGGAAAGGAAGGTGGGCAGAGGGAAGGGAAAAAATGGACCTCAGCTCCAATAATCTAATGGCCTCCCTTCGTCTCGGCTCACTTCCCTCTCCCTTCTTCCAAATCTTGGCTTGCTGCCACCATAGTGACTGTGCTGCAACTGGAAGGAATAGGAAGCAGGATGCCTCTGATGGCTTCAGGGACACTGACCCCTAGTGGGACCTTCAATCTTGCCAGTTTGAGAGCAGAATGCTTCAACATACCCAGAGTTTGGGTCCCTCTCTCAAGCTCAAATTCTACCCTCATTTCTACTTACCATCTGAAAGATGAAGGTCACGGTCCCACAAACCCGCACAGCTTTATTGAATCGGAGCTCCAGATACTAGGTGAGAATATGTATGTACATGTATACACATATATAGATAAATAAAGGTATTCCTCCCCACTCTACCCCACAATTCGACTTCCCTCAAGAAACCCAGGAATGTGAAAGAATATTCAACTCACATCTGCTCTGGGCCTCTCAGCACAGGACCCTCCTTCTCTCCCCACCTAACCTCACCCAGAAAGAACTTGGAAACACACAATGTGTCCCATCATTCTCATTAAGCAGAAGAGGTCCATCCAGAGACCCAGATCCCTCATATATGGCCTCGTCCTTCTTTCTATTCCTGCCCCCTGATGGTCCTATGTGCTCCTCTTCCTCCCCACTCACCTCATAGGCACTGGTGAGATGCAGGCGGTAGAAGACAGGGATGAAGATGTGTGCAGGGATCAGCAGGCCCAGAAAATAGCAGCAGCCCAGGAACCAATACTGGGTCCCAAATCGGTAGATCTCAGATGGCACACCCAAGATGGCCACGGCTGATTGGAAGGTGGCCAGCAGAGACAGAGCCACAGGAAGACAGCTCATTTTTCGGTCTGCCATGAGCAGTTGGCCAACAGTATGCCGGCCCCAGCCATGAAAGGCATGGTAGAGCCCAATAGCAAGGGAGAGAACCAGCAGCAGCACAAACACTACATAGTCCACGAGGGAGAAGGTAGATGTGACAGTGTTTGTGTCTGAGGCTGGGAGCAGGGGAGCAGAGGTGCTCACCCCCACACTCATATCTTCGCCGTGTCTGTGGCCTACAGCCACGTGCTGCTCCTGGGCTCTGGGCTGCCACTCAGCTGGGCAGTGGCAGGCAGGTGGCTACAACCTGGCTTCTAGCCACGATCTCACAGTCCTTCTCCACCAAGTGACATTGTCCAAGTGAGCTGCAAAGGAATCAGCTCCTAGTCAGGCTTACCCTGCCTTCATGGGCACCCATTCTCAGGCCTGTATATCCCACACCCATCAAACCTGGACCAGCCAGCTCTGTACAGCCCTTGTAGGTCTAGAGGTCCTAGTATGGATCTGGTAGGGGAGGAAGGAAGCAGCAGAGTAAGACAGCCAGGAGACAACTGCTTGTCCAAGATCATTTTGGGCATACACAGCTGTGAAATATAACAACCTTCTTGGGGCGCCTGGGGGGTGCAGTTAGATCGTGAGATCAAACCCTGTGTCAGGCTCTGCGCTCAGTGTGGAGTCTGCTTGAGATTCTCTCTCCCTCTGCCCCTCACCCTCCTTTCTAAAATAAATTAAATCTTAAAAAACAAAAACAAATAACGAACCTTCTTAGGTTTCCACCCCAATCACAAAAGAAAAATCAACTCTAGCCCACATTTCTTCTTAAAGACTTCCCTGCCCCCACTTGGAGGCACAGACCCAGTCACTACAGCGTACTAAGCCAGCAGACCCCAGCCTGGCACCACAGCCCAGCAGGGAAGAAGAAAGGGAGACTAATAACAGCATGGCTTCCTCTCTTTCCCCAGCCTCAGCTCCCATCTCCCCTATTCCCAGTGTCACCTTCCTAACAGGACCCCTTCTCAGCACTGATCCCCAGTGCAATTACCTACACGGCAGCCCCAAACTCCATTCCACATATCCCCAAGCCAACCACTTCGTTCTCCCCCAGCACTACTAGATAAGCCCTGCCACCCATCTCTCAGCAACTCTCCCAGCAACACTACAGTCAATAGCAGATCCGGGGAGAGTGCTGGGATTCAAAAGTGTGAGGGCAATGTGCGGGAGCCAGGAGTTCAGAGTTATGATACAGAGAAGCAAACCAGCCAGGGAGCTGGGGGCAAGGGAACAGCCAGGGAAAGCGCGCCTCCCCTCCTGGAGCAGGAACCTACCTAGAGAAGTAATGTCTGTTCTGAGGCAGCGCTGCCTGGAGAAGCTGTGTGTGTCTGGAGCTGAGCAGAAGCTGAGGATTTGGCTCTATAAGTAGGTGAGGTGAAATCAGGAATTAGGGGCGGAGTGAAGCTCAGCAGCTATTGGCTCTGGCCCCTTCAGGGAACCAACCAATCAATGTGATCCAAATGGTCCTATCACCATATGGCCCCCAAACTCCAGCTCAGTCCTAGAGGCTCCAGAGTGGGGAACAGGGAGCTCACATTCAACAGCATTCCTAGCTAGATTAGGCTTCCACTGTAAGTCACACTTGGCACTGTGTGCTAGAGGGAATTAGAAAGTAGGAGCCCAGGGAAACGGGAAAGTTGCTTTTCTGACTCCTGCACCAAAAATACTAATCCTCAAAGAAATACAGCATTATCAGCATTATCCTCAGAACAAGGACAGGATTATGCTACTTCAAAACTTAAGGGAACATTCAGAGATCACTATCACGACCCCCCTCAGTTACCAACAAAGATACTGAGGCCCAGATGACTCAAGTGATCTTTCCAGAACCACAGAGCCAATTATTGTCAGTCTAGATTAGAGCTCAGGTTTACTGATTCCCCATCCATCCACTCTTCATTTATACCATAATGTCTTTAGAAGATACCCACAACATACTCATTGATATGGAGAAAAAAATACCAAAGCGTGCCAGGTTTACAGATAGCCTAAATGATGACAGTTAACCCCTTTTGAACACCCCCTCTTTTTTTTTTTTTTTTTTAGTGAAGCAACTCAGCTCTTACTTCTTGTAACCCAGCTGCGTGCCGTGAACTTTACAAACTTTAGTAACGATAATGAAAAAGTACCCTTTGCTATCAGTTTTATTTTATTTCTTTATAAAGATTTTATTTACTTGAGAGAGAGAGAATGAGAGCTAGAGAGCACGAGAGGGAAGAGGGTCAGAGGGAGAAGCAGACCCCCCCGCTGAGCAGGGAGCCTGATGTGGGACTCGATCCCGGGACTCCAGGATCATGACCTGAGCCGAAGGCAGTCGCTTAACCAACTGAGCCACCCAGGCGCCCCTGCTATCATTTTTAAAACACCACCTCCGTTTATGAACTTTAAGCGAACACTCTCTAGCTCTCAAGGAAACGGAGTCAGAAAAGTTAAAGAACTTCCTTAAGGTCACATAGCTTGATACAAAACAAGGGAGAAAGAAAGAGTGCTATCTGCAGGTAGGACAGGTGATTTACCAAGGGGCCCATCCTTACTATTCCTAGAACCAGGGCGGGAGCAGAATGTTAATTGTAGTCAGTCATTCATGGAACAAAGTTTAGATTCCAACTAATCTAGATACACATTAATATAACCTACGTTTTCTGTTCTTGACCACTAGGAGAAAGATCAGCCTGGCTGTCTTCTGGTTCACTCATATTGTGTTCTTGGGCAGATGTCGCCCGGCTGGCAAGATATGGTTTTACAGAGACCAAACCTGAACTCTGAACCCCGTGGGGCCAACAAAGAGAGGAAATCAGAGGCGGCAACTCTAGGATCACATGTTCTACGAGTCACAAATGTTCGTACCCAGAATAGTGTTCCCAACAGGCCACTCTGGTTTAACCTAAAGATGCCCTGGGCCTTTGTACATTGCAACATCTTTAGTTCCCACTCCTCTTTGGCAAATTTTACTATGATAGAGGTGATGGAAAATACTGGAAAATAAGAAAAGGTGTCTGCTGTGTGCAAATAAGAATGCGTAGCTGTAAAGGGTTAGTGATAAGGCTACGCTGGTTACGGAAAGGAAAAATGATCTCAGCGTAGACTAGAACACAGACATACTGAACTGGAGACTCTCCTGCTGGGATAAACTGGTGAAGCTTCTAGATAGAATTCTATTTGCATGAGGTGTAGAGAACCTTCCTGGATGGCTGAAGACAGAGCCAGGCAAGACTGGAAAAACCTGACCCAGTAACAAAGTGTTCCTCAGACAGGATTCTGATTCTGAGAACAGGATAGTTAGTGGCTTTCTAAAAACTACACTGCTCTAAACCCCCATGGACTTGCATTTCTCTGAGAAAAGAGGAACCAAAAGAGCAGAGTGCTTTCACTAAAACTGTAACACACAGGGTACAAAGAGTGGGCTGTGAGACCCCTTTCTAAAAGTATGACACACGCAGAAACGGAAGACCATCATTCTACACCACCGTACCCCCTTTGACGGCCTGCGCTGAATTGCCTTGACTCCTACAAAAGGCGAAGGGGGCCACTGCAGGACCCACTGTCCCAAAAAATATTCCTTCAAAATCTGCCCTTGTGCCTAGAATTCCTCGAAGTCTGAAAGCTTCGGTACCCTCATTAAAAGGCTAAGAACTACCAACGTCTTAGAGAACGTGCCAGCCAGCTGAAAGTAAATTCTTTCAAGGAGATTCCACATACCGCAGCCGGGGTCGGCCACTCAAGATGAGTCAGCTTTGATGAGATTTTGCCTGGCCCTAATCAAAGGCAACACTCAGTCCCTCCAGGCGCGGGGCTCCCCAGGGCTACCCTGGGGTAGGGCTCGCCTTTCCCTTACCTCCGTGGCTCCGCCAGGGCTAGGAAGGTCCAGTCGTTTGTCCTGAGATCAGCATCGCTCCGTTTTTCTGGGAAGAAAAAGGAGTTGAGAAGGCAGGCAAGCGCCTACCCCGCCCCTCCCTCCTCACCAAGGATCCCGCCGCCACGCGGTCTCCGGACTGAGGTGAAGGTATCAGGGTGCCCGGAGCCTCCCCAGGCTCGTCTCCTCCCGCCGGGGTTTGCCCTTCACTCTTCTATCACCCTTACCCTCTTTATTTGCTGGCTTCTCGCCTTCCCTCCACACGTGAGGTAGCTTAACCACTACACCACTTGGTCTCAACTCAGATCTTCCCGCGCCTCCACGCGGGGAACCAGCTCGCCCTGCCCCTCCCCACTTCCGCGCCACTCTCGGGAGCCTCTGGGCACTAGCCCCCATGCGCTGGCCCGCCCAGGTGCGGCCCATTTGCCGGGTCTCCACCTTTGGGCGCAGCGGAGGGGCCCAACCGGGCCTGCCGTATGCGGCCTGAGTGACAGCGGGGGGGGCGGAGCGCCCCCTGGCCGCCTCACGTGGCGCCGCCATGTTTACTGAGGGCGGACGGCGTGGGCCCCGAGCCACTGCGGTAACGCGACCTCGGCGTCCGGAAGCGAGGAATACGGAGCTGAAAGAGCGGCGGCGGGGAGGCCTGCGCTAACAGGGGAAAAGGAGAGGGGGGTTGGCCAGTCCGCCCTAACGGGGACCGGGGCGCGCAGAGAAAAGCTCTGACCTCCTCGAGCAGCCGCAAGTCCCAGCCCGTGCTGGGGGACTAGGCCACGCCCTGGCAGGGCGGAGCCATACGCGCAAGTCTCGCGAGGCGCAGAGAAGGACGAAGGGAGCAAAAAATGGCTCCTTGCGGGCCGGGCTGTTTTTCGTTCCTGGTCCCTTGGGCAGCGACCCTGCTCCTCGCTCTGGGCGCGGAAAGGGCTCTGGCGCTACCCGAGGTACAGAAGCAAGTTAGAGGTCGGGCTGAAGCAGAGCTGCTGGGCAACCTTGTGTCGCGCTCGCCGGCCCTCGGCTCTCTCTCCCCAGCCCGCCCGTGGCTCCGATTTGGTCCCTGAGACTTTCCTAGCTGTAGCCCAGCCGGCTCCGGCTCCTGAGTACTCACGCCGCGCAGGTCTCCCGGTGTCCTCGCCCTGCTGACGTAGACCTTTAAAATTTGATCTCCTTTTTCCTTAATCTTTGAATAACCTTAAGTTTTTCGGTTACCGCGAGCCCTCTGGCTCTTCTTCAAGCTCGTCAGGCGCGGATGCCGTATATTGTGCTCTGGCAGTACTGTACCTTGTGTAAAGCTTGATGAGTTCTTTGTATGCCGGCGGTGCTTTTATACCTGGCCAAACCGGGTCTGTCAGATTGAGAAGTCACTGGAGAGGGCATAATAAATATGTTCGAACAGTGATCTTCAAAGATGAGGGCTTTTCCTGGGCAAGGTCTGGGGCAGAAAGTCTAGTATGCTGATTTAGCTCCTGGCTCTAGGCGAAGAAATGAATCCCCTAGGCACACTTGACATATAAAGATAGGACACTTACCTGCCCAGTGTTAAAGGGATTCTGAAGAGTGTACTTACTGGCAGTTAACTTTTGCTACCTATTTGTTCTTTTCTTGGCTTTTCTTTCTGGAATTCTAATAGTTTTCTCTCTTCTGCAGATATGCATGCTGTGTCCAGGGAGTGTGCGAGATTTGTCAGAAGTGACCCTTTATTGTAAGCAGACGCCAGAGCTAATGCTGCACTCCCGCTGCTGCCTGGATCAGGAGGGCACCATTGTGGGGTGAGGGGGGAAAAGACAACTCTGGATACTGGAAGAGTTCCCAAACCGGATTCCTTTTTTTTTTTTTCTTAAGTAGGCTTTATGCCCAATGTGGGGCTTGAACTTAGGACCCTGAGTTCAAGACTTGGGTGGAGATCAGGAGTCCAACACTTAACCCACTGAGCCACCCAGGCACCCCCTCTCCCCCCAGATTCTTGAAGGCTTGCCTGATTGGCTTTTGGGATAAATAAATATCCGTGCCTGTTTTGGGGGCATCCAAACCATGATTCTCATACATTTAAATGTGTTAGAGCATTTTTAGCTAGGTAAACAACCCTGTGATTCTTCCTGGTTGAAACTGCATAGAAGTCATAATTTTTGCCCATTAAAAAAAAAAGCCTCTTATGGCTTCCTTTTATTTTTTTTAAAGAGGTTATTTATTTATTTGAGAGACAGTGAGCAAGAGAGTACGGGAGCAGGGGCAGAGAGAGAGCCTGACTCCCTACACTAAGCAGGGAGCCCGATGTGAAGCTCTGTCCCAGGACTCCAGGATCATGACCTGAGCTGAAGGCAGATGCTTAACCAACTGAGCTGCCTAGGCGCCCCTACGGCTTCCTCTTAAAAGAATTTTTGTTCTTTTATTTTCAATTCTGGATTACTTAGTGTATATCTCCATGAAATGGCTCCGTTAGCCTCCAAGGCAATTTATTAATAGGGTATTCTTTCCTTCCAGTTAATTCATGTTTGTCTTTGAGGCAGATTCATCTTCTGCAGATTCTGTCCCCTTATGAAGGTTAGTCCCTGCATTTTCTTCCTTTACACTCTGAGGATTCACTCTTCGTATAGCTTCAGCTATAACCACCATGCAGGTGTTTCCCCAAACTAGATCTCTTTTAGTATCCTTGGCCACCTCTCCAACCTGAAGGTACACATGAGTACTTCTAGCTTCCTATTAAACATTTCCTGTTGAGTGCACCCTCACTTCAGAGTCCTAAATGTCATCTGTCTTGCTTCCATTCTCTTTTCTCCCTAATTACCTAAATACTTCTCTATAGGAAACTATCTGAAAACCAATTTTTTTTCCCATCATCCCTCTCTGGTTTTAAAATTAGAATTGTTTGTTGCCCTCAGGATAAAGTTCAAACCATAAACCACTACAGATTGGTCTCAATCCACTTTTCAAACATTTTTTCCCCAACTATTTGTCCACTAAAACCCTTCATGAGCGTCTGGCTTGAGCCAGACTTGCCTACTTTCCAAAAGCATTACGCTTTTGTTTCTTTGTTCATTCAGGCCTCCTTATCTGAAATTTCCTTCCTCCACCAAATTAAAACATACCCATCCTTTAATTCCAGCATCTTCTGTGAATGCTCTCTACCATTCAATGCTAGAATAATATCTCTTTTTTTTTTTACTTCTTCTAACCCTTAGTGTCTGTACCACTCAAAATTATTCATATACTGTTCTGTGATTTCTTTCCGATTATAATTTAATGTTTATGTTGTTTTTATATTTGGTGATGGTCTTCCTCTACTACATTGTAGGCCACTTGAAAACTAAGATACTGAGGGTTTTCTTTTTATTCTCCCAATTTTTGCAGTTAATAGGCACTTAGTATGGGTGCCTGGGCAGCTCAGTTGGTTAAGCGGCTGCCTTTGGCTCAGGTCAGCCCTGCATTGGGTTCCCTGCTCAGTGGGGAGTCTGCTTCTCCCTCTCCCTCTGCCACCCCCCTGCTTGTGCTCTCTCACGCTCTGTCAAATAAATAAATAAAATCTTTAAAAAAAAAAAGGCACTCAGCAAATATTTGAAGAATAAAGGAACAGACCGCAATAAATAGTGAAGGAAAAATAATGTGGCATGGTCCTTAATATCCAGTAATTTGTCTTTAGTCTGTGGTAGAAAATGCACTTGGAAAAAACTTTCGTTTATGTGACTTGAATTTTTTCCCCATTTGAAGGCCTTTGTGGATCTGAGAATCATAATGCTACAATGTGAGATTCACTAACCTAGACAAGGAACAAATTTCTTCCAATATATGCACAGATGCCTAGATATACTGGTTAGAACAGTACTGTCCAATAGCACTTCCTGCTATGATAGAAGTGTTCCATATCTGTACTTTCCAATATAGTAGCCACTGATCACATGGTGAGTGGTTACTGAATAGTTGAAATGTGGCTAGTGCAAATGAGAAACTGAATTTTTTTTACCTAATTTATTTATTTTTTAAAGATTTTATTTATTTGTTTGACAGAGAGAGAGAGAGCGAGAGCAGGAACACAAGCAGGGGGAGTGGGAGAAGGAGAAGCAGGCTTCCCGCCGAGCAGGGAGCCTGATGCGGGGCTCGATCCCAGGGTCCTGGGATCATGACCCGAGCCGAAGGCAGACACTTAACGACTGAGCCACCCAGGCGCCCCTTTTTTACCTAATTTAAATAGTTACATGTAACTAGTGACTGAACTGGACAGTGCAGAATTAAAACATCTACCACAGCATCTAGTTTGTGGCCCTGAACACAGCTGTGTTCAATTAATATTAGCTGAAAAGAGGGTTATATTAGCTTACCATAGGTGAAGAGAGACATATAATTACACTGATTACTGTGTTTCCTCAGGCTGGATCTCCAGAACTGTTCTCTGAAGGACCCTGGTCCAGACTTTCCTCAGGCACATACTGCCATCATCATGTAAGTGGCTAGTTACCCTCCCTCCCCAATGGCAGCTATGATAGAGGGCTGATGGGAAAGTCTTTGAGGATGGACTCCTAAAAAGTTTGAATATTAATGTCCAAACTTGGACAACTCAGAATGAGAACTGGATTACCAGCCCAGGAAGATGTGTGAATGGAAGTAGAGTGTTTTCCTAGAGCACACCGCTAACAGTGTGTGCTTTGCAGAGACCTGCAAGCAAACCCCCTCAAGGATGACTTGGCCAACACCTTCCGTGGCTTTACCCAGCTCCAGACTCTGTGAGTAAGGGTATAGGATTGGGGAGAGAACCAAAGATGGACAGTGCTGTGAGCTCAGCAATTTTGGGCTGTGTATTATGATTGCCTGTGTTGTGTTCAGGATACTTCCCCAAGATGTCAGCTGTCCTGGAGGTATTAATGCTTGGAATACTGTCACCTTTTATATAAAAAACCAAACCTGCCAAGGGCAAAGGAACCTTTGCAACAGCACTGGGGACCAAGGTACGCTGTCTCACCTCCACCCTTCCAGGAGCTAACTTTCATCCCTTATATTCTCCATTTTAGCCCTGATAGTACTAAGTTGCTTAAGTGCTTCTTGTTCAAGTTTCTGAACCTCTAACCCCTTGAAAGGAAAGGTTGTAAGATGTATTGTTGTTATGTTCTTTTTAAAAAATTTTTTTATTTAAATTTAATTAGCCAACATCATTAGTTTCAGATGCAGTGTTCAATAATTTATCAGTTGTGTGTAACACCCAGTGCTCATCACATCACGTGCCCTACTTAATGCCCATCACCTAGTTACCCCATCCCCCACCCACCTCCCCTCCAGCAGCCCTCAGTTTGTTTCCTATAGTTAAGAATCTTTCTATGCAACTAATGAATCTTTGAACACTACATCAGAAACTAATGATGTACTATACATAATTATAAAAAAGAATCTTTCACAATTTTTCTCCCTCTCTGATGACTTCCCGTTCAGTTTTCCCTCCTTTCCCCTATGATCCTCTGTGCTGTTTCTTATATTCCACATATGAAGGATGTTTTTCTCTCTTTGACTTTGTTGTTATGTTCTGATTATTTGAAATCTTCTTTCTTCTGCTTCTGACCTAGAAATAGTTGAGAGAATCTAAGTTGAAGCAGGTATTTGACAAACCTACATAATGAGATTCAGTGATGTCTTCTGTTTTTCTCTGGCTC